TCCGTAGTGATAACTGCCTCGGAAACCCAGGGAGGGGTCGCTATGAGTCGGGGCCGACTCGACGGCACATAACAACAACAACAACAACATTGTTTGATTTAAAGGTGAATTTTAAGAAAACTAGCTTTCTCAAGGCTCAAGTTTCAGATACATTTCAGATGACGTCTGTGGGTCATCTCAACCTCCACAGAATTCAGATTTCTATGAGAATTAAAAACTCCATTAATCACCTTTGGTGGGAGTAGGGGTGAGATGCTCTGGTAGTGCAGTGCCTAAGGCACTTGACTGCTAACCCGAAGGCTGGTGGTTCAAACCCACCAGCCACTCCTCAAAAGGAAGGTTGGGGAATCTACTTCTGTAGTGATACTGCCTCAGAAACCCAATCAGGGGTCACTATGAGTCGGGTCTGACTCGACGGCACATAACAACAACAACAACAAGGAGAAAGGATCATGAGGGGACTTTTGGGATTATATTAAAGTTCTGTTTCTTGATCTGATATTCAACCACATGTATTAAGATCAAGAGTGTTTATTGAATTATACACTTTTATTTTGTGTACTTTTCTCTTTGTGTGCTATAAATCAATAGGAAATGTATCTAAAAATCATAATTCCTGAATTCTGTTTCCTAGAAATTATGGGACTTGTCTGTTGTCAATAATAACCTAATTGATTTACCTTTCATTTTTAAACATTAAATTCTGTTCAATGTTCTTTTCTATAATGTTTACACAAATTAACATTAACAAAGTTGAGAAATGATGACCATGATCAAATTTTTTAGTTACCATTTCTCTTAATGACAACTAGTGGATATTTAGACAACAAATATATACAGAGAGAGATCAATCTCTCAATATTTACTGTTAGTCTTTCAATATGTACTGAACAACTAATTTGTGGGTACTATCACACCATGTTAAAAAACAACGACAACAAAACCTTCCAATATTTTTTAGAGTCAGAAATGCTTTACAATGAGCACAATACAAGGACTTGAAATGGTACCTGGTTTTATATCAAACATTCTTCTGAGAGCAGTCTTTGGAATATGACAATAATGAGCAAGTCAAAAAAACTTCTGTAGTATTGAGTTCTGACATCATTATTGGGCCAGGTCTTAAGTGGATTCCTTGTGAGGGAATTTCTTCTTCCAGATAGATACAGTCAAAGACCAGCAATTGAGAAGGCCAGACTTAACTAGAGGTTCTAGAACTTTGTCTGTTACTATTGAACTACTGGCGTCAGAATTTGCATTGCTGTTTTTTTGTTGTTGTTGTTGTTCCCTAGTGAGTTAGTTGTACTAAATTACACCTGTTTTTAGCTGTGATTCAGTTCAGCTCAAATCTCTGCAATCTTCATGTCTTGTTGGTTCTACAAATAGAAATACTCACCATTGCACAGCTGTTACCTTGAGTTTCCACCAAGCATTAGTTCTTACAATGGACTATTAATTTGTCTCGCTGTTTTTTCTCTTGCCTCTTTTAGCTTATTTTTAACTCCTCAGCTATAAAGTTTCTGGTAAAGTATTTCAGATAATATCAGTTCTCTATTCAAAGTTCTCCAGTGGCTTCCCATTACAGTTAGAATAATATGTAGTGTTGTTATCATGACCTAAATACAAGCTAGAATATAATTTTTCTATGGTACAACACAGCACAGAGGAGGGATTAATTTATTATAACAGAGACATAGAAGACTCTAAGAAGGCATAACAGAGAAATGATAAATTCTGAAGGTCAAAATTTTAGAGATGAATAGGCGTTCACCAGGCAGACAAGGTAGAAAGAAGTAATTAGAGCTATGTGTGCAAAGACAGAAAAAAATATCTTGCCCTTTTTCTCACATTGAGGCATCTTCTCTCTGTCATTTCTGACTTTACATGATCCTGTCCCTTTTCAGGTTTATTATCCCTCAAAGTTATGAGTGCTCAAAAATTACCTCATGTATCATTTTTTATATCCCATCAAGGAGAAAAATCACCTAGAAGTAGATCAACCTTATATTTTCTTCAAACAATGCAAATTAAGGTGTGAATTGTTCTTAAAAAAAAAAAAAAAATTGCCATCTAGTTGATTCTGACATATGTTGTTGCTGTTGTTGTTATGTGCCGTCAAGTCGGACCCAACTCAGAGTGACCCCTCCTTGGGTTTCTGGGGCAGTATCACTACAGAAGTAGATTGTCCCATCTTCCTTCCGAGGAGTGGCTTTTGGGTTTGAACCACCAGCCTTCTGGTTAGCAGTCAAGTGCCTTAGGCACTATGCTACCGGAGCTCCTGATATATAGTGACCCTAAAGGACAGAATGGAACTGGCCTATAGGGTTTTCAAGGTTGTAATATTTATGGAAACAGATTGCCACATCTTTCTCCTACAAAGCAGCTGGTGGGTTAGAACTGCGTCTTTTGGTTAGCAGCCAAACACTTAAACAGTGTGCAACCATGGCTCCTTAGGAAAGGATATCTGTGTTTGAAAGGCAATATTTTGTAATCAAAGGAACTCTTATCACATAGATTTGGCTTGAGAATATGTAAAATTGTTTTATAATATCTCCATTTCCTACTCCTTCTCTTAAGTCTATCCTGTAATAAAACTATGCTAACCTCACTTCTGAGAGATTATTAAAATATAATTCAGTGTGAGTCTTCTTTTCAAAAATGATTGCTTTGTTACATTTTTTTACCTTTCAATTATTTTTTACTCCTTAATATAGACTACATGGAATAATAGATGTTTCCTTAAAAGAATGAACACTAATTTAAATGGCATTTCTTCCTTGTAAATTGTTGTTGTTGTTGTTTGCCATTGAGTTGGCCCTGACTCATAGCGACCCCTCCTTGGGTTTCCGAGGCAGTATCACTACAGAAGTAGGAATGCCCAACCTTCCTTCCGAGGAGTGGCTGGTGGGTTTGAACCACCAGCCTTCTGGTTAGCAGTCAAGTGCCTTAGGCACTATGCTACCAATAGTTTTAATGTAAATAATTTTTTTAAAACACTTTGTATGATAGGGAAGAAGAACAACTGAATTGCAGGCAATCACTTTACTGTTATAAATAGTTTTCCACGGTTAGGTTTGTGGTAAGTTAATTTCCTTTTAAAAAGAGGAGAAACAACTTCTGCAAAAGCTCTATTGTAAATCAAAACTAAATGTGTGGTCATAAAATATCATAAACGCTGAGTGATGATGCTTGATCCGCACCATCATCATTGTGTCAAGAGCTTTAAGTATTATAATAAATAGACTTTGTAAGAATTATTACTAAGGCTCCTACAAAACAATATCTCCAAATTTTCCAGAGCAACAGTTATTTCCTATATGAACTGCCTTTCATAGTTTTATTGAATTAGAAATGGCTCTTGATCATAGGGGTTTGAGAGTTCAGAATTTAATTATAGTAAACTTATTTAATATACTCTCTAAAGCATGTTAGGTATATGATTGCGATTTTCTGGTGTTTTTTCTACAATGAATAATAGATAAATACTAAGAATAACTCTAATGGACACTTACTGATTAAAACATTGTTCTCTGCTCCACTCACTATTTGCATAGAAATGGAGCTGGAGCCAACTAAGAATGTAGTTGAACTCTGTCATAACTCCCTGGACAATGTCACTTTTTCCTCTTCCCTGCAGGTCAAATACATTTGAAGTGCTGGCTCTGGATGGAGTCAGCAGTGGAATTCTTCAGTTCTACACAGCCCAGGAGAGTGCTGACTGGCTGAAAGCAGTATCAGCAAATATTAGTGATCTAACCCTTCAAAATGTAAGCATAAAGATTTTTCCACCACCTAAACCTTTAATTTGTCATACATGAAAAATAATTTACATTTTTATTATTTATGATTAACTAAAATGCAATTGTCTATGACAGTAATATCAAAGAATATGTACTTATTTCAATGAATCAAGTATCTAAATCAAAGGAATAAAAATTAAGGACTATGCCTTAGTCAGATTTGGCTTTTGACTAATTTTCTTGTTCTTATTCTATCCCAGTATTTGCCCAATATTTGCAACCCTGTTTCTGCTTCTATTTCAGTTGCCAATCTATGGCTGGAAGTGTTTGGAACAAGGGAATCTTTGAAATCTCACCATGTGACTAGCCAGGCACAACCTCTTTCTACAGCAGAACCCTGCCATTCATTCCACATCCCTTTACCCAACTTCTTATTCATACTTGTGTTGTTCCTGATAGTTGCTAAACAGAATTTAATTGAATAAAATTAAGTATTGGGGGAATTAGCAATTTGTTAGATTTCTACACTAGAGACCTCAGAAGGTTTCTTTCTTCATTTATAAAAGGAAGCACCAGATCCCCTCTAAGATTTCAGTTCTCAAATTTGACATTTTGAATTTCAAGGTATCTGGATGGATAGAAGGAAGAAATTGACATTTACAAAAATGAGTTTATAAGAGTTCTTCATTTTTAGGTGATTTTCACACATTATTTCTCCTAGGCAAAGCAGAGATTTGCAAAACAGCAAATTTTTGAAAACTGGAAATTTGGTTTTGTAACCAAGTTCCTCCATTTTCCACCTGTGTGGTGTTGGGCATGTTGTTTTCCTGGCCTCCATTTCCTCAGTGGTAAAATTTTTGAACATAGTGTCTACCTCACAGGATTGTTAGGAGAACTAAAGAAAGGAACAAATGTGAAATATTATCATTTTAGTTTCCTAAAATTATGTAAAACAGCAATCATTTTTTTTCAGATACTGAGATTTAAACATCTGATACTGTCTCGGAAACCCAAGGAGGGGTCGCTAAGTGTTGGATCTGACTTGATGACATGTAACAACAACAATATCCCATAGCTTACATAAAATGCTAATTTTTTAAAAAGGTTTTGAACCTCCAGCCTTTTGATTAGCAGTCAAATGTCTTAAGCAGTATGCCACCAGTGTTCCTATAACCAAACTCACTACCATCTAGTTGGATCTGACTCATAGCAACCCCTCCTTAGGTTTCCGAGATGGTATCACTATGGAAGTAGATTGCCCAGTCTTCCTTTGAAGAAGTGACTGGTGGGTTTGAACTGCCAGCCTCTGGTTAGCAGTCAAATGCCTTAGACACTATGCCACCAGAGCTCCTTTAAATATGCTAGCATAGGCTTTTCTTACTATGAGAATTGCTTCCATACATTTGTATTTACTCTGATTTGCTTTTCATATAAGAAATACATCTTAAAGGACACTTTGCTTCCAAGGACACTTATGTAGCTAATTAATTTCTGCTGCCAATTAGACAGATTGAAAAAATCATGACAGGAATACACTTACACTGACTCCTTATTATCCTCTCTCTACAGATGAAAATGGCCAACAAATGCTGTTCTCCTTGTGACCAGGTACGATTTGTGTTTTATATGTTGAAAAATAACAAATTCCCAAAAGTAACCTCTTCTTGTTTTGGAAATTTGTGTTGGAAAATTTTGATACTGATACATTTGTACAAATAAGACTGAAGTTGGAGTTCATTCCCTCCATGTTAACTCTAAACTATTCATTTATAGTGGAAGCAGGAAAAGAGAAATAGTTCTGATCCTGTATGTTTGCCATGTTATAAATTATTTATTCATTAGCAGTTATGTTTTGCTGATTTCAATTCATATCAACCCTGTAGGACATTGCAGAAATGCTCCAAATAGTTTCTATTACCAAAAAACCAAACTCAATGTCATCGAGTGGATTCTAATAGCAATGCTCTTTGGTTTCTGAGGCAGTAAGCCTTTATGGAAGTAGAATGCCCAGTCTCCCTTCCATGGAGTGGCTGGTGGGTTTGAAACATCACCCTTCTGGTTAGCAGTCAAATGCCTTAGGCCCTATGACATCAGAGTTTCTTATAGTTTTCAAGGCAGTAATCTTTTTTGTTGTTGTTGTTAATTCTTACGTATGTAATCATAACAATTTGTTCATGGCACTTCTTCTGACTTTTTTTTTTTTAACTTTTATTTTGATTTGGGTGAAGATTTACAAAGTAAATTCACTTTTCATACAGCAGTTCACATATACTTTGTCTCATGTCATTGACCAAAATTTGCAATGCAACAGCTCCCCTCCCACTTCCTCCCCATAGTTACCTCCTCCCAGTGTCCATCCCTCCATACTCTTCTGCACCCTGAGCTATCTCCCTGTGCATA